TGCCAGCTCAGGAGCTCCTTTTGGTCTGATTCTTCAAGAGTTTGGCTTAAAGTTTAAACTGACCAAAGTCAACACCACTCCGAAATGTCAACAAGTAGGAAAAGCATTACTGTCTCCATTAACTGCAATAACCATCAGCCACGGCCATAAGAAGCGGGAAGCTCATGTACAGAACACAGCTCCTTGGGCACTGCTAAGTGAGGAGGTTAACGGGGTTCTAGGACAAAATATTTCCCAAACAACACCAAGGTTTCTTTCTGCTGAAGCACCCAAGGCATTATCTGTGTTGTGCCTTCTTCTGCCAAGTTAATAGACCTGAACTTCTTAAGTGCACAAAAAAAAAGCAAGTTTGAGAGTGCAAATATTCTGCTTAAGGAGAATAGAATTTAATTCCATAGCATATTATTCCCATAGTGAAGGTTTTTTAGACAAGGCTGGATAAAGCCTGCAGCAACCTGCTCTTCCCTGAGAGTGGCCCTGCTGTGGGCAGGAGACTGGAGTACGGCTCTCCTGAGCTCCCTTCCAGCCCCAACCACCCCCTGAGGCTGCCTTCATGGCCCGGGTGATGTGAAACCTGGAGGGAAAGCGAGGGAGAAACCCCAGCCCCGCTCCCAGGCAGACGCTGCAGCCTCTGCTGAGAGCAAAACCAAAGGACTCGGTGCAGAAAACAGCTGCATGTTGCAAAATGGACAGAACTGAAAGGTGTCCACATGCTCATCAATTAGTTATTTAGAATGTCCTGTTTGACTTATTTTTTAAGATGAAAACCTATTCCCATACAACTATTAAGTTTTTTAGGAGTGCTTAGCCCAGCAGATCCAGCAGCACTGTAAGTTCATAAAGCCAGCGGCTTTCTACCGAGAGCGGGTGCAGTTCTGTGCAGAAGGGCAATCAAAACTGTCACTTCGTACAATATAACAGAGCAGGACACTTGTCATCCTTGAGGCTAAGCTCACTCAGCTACTGCAGCTAATACTAGAGATTTATTTACATTAATCTGCAGGACAATTAAATCCATTACCTTAAAAAGCAAAGGAATAAATCATACCCAACAGGAAACCAGGAAAAGCTGCTGCCATTTCAGTCGAATCTAAGGTTGTGCGAGCACATGAAATTTTTCCTCATTAAGGGCATAAAAACAATTCAGAGCAGGAAAAAGAATATCAGCTGTTGTTACAATGCAAAATGCAAATACCCTCAATGAGTTTAACACTGCAGCCAAAGTATGAGGAACATCTCAAGCTGTTTGTATTTCCAAACAAGACTTGAGGGGTCAGAGGAGGCAGGAGGACATGTGGGCAGGCTGGAATGATGGATGGCGTTTAGTGGCATGCTGTGTTTGGGTCTGCTCTTGTTATTTTTTGCAACAGGATGTCTCTGATTACTCTCTGAATAGAGAACAAGGATGGTTACGTCTCATTGCTCAAAGGAAAATCTTTTTGCAGAGCTTTACAAATTAAATAGGACATTGGAAAGCAAGCAGTCAATGAGCTATCAGGTGCTGTTTGTCACAGATCTAGCAACAGTGGCAGCAGATTCCCTGGGGGCATCAGAGTGGGTTTGGGGCTGGTAAATGAGGTCTACGTACTCTGGTCCTACTTAGAGCAAAGCCCAGCTGTGCAGAGTCTTTCTCTGTAGTTGCCTGCACGGTTTGTCTCATGTCAGGGACAAAGGATTTTGTACCAGGGGCACACGGAGCCTCTGGATAATTTCAGCCACAAAGTGGATGCAATATGGAGAGGACTCCATAAAAGACGGAGGACCATTGCTTTTCCAAATCCCATCCTTCCAGCAATCTTTGCCCAACTGGCTCCTGGCTCACAGGGAGTGCCCGGAGCGATGGTCAGGCTAAAGCTGCCTAAACCACTCCTGGAGTGTGACCCGTCAGCGAACGATGCCCTCCACCCCCAGCCAGACCTCAGAGGCCGGGACCATGTTCACGCTCCACAGCTCAGCCCCAGCCCCGGAGCATTTCCTTGAAAGCTGCTGAGGTTCCTCACTGATGCCAAAGAAAATGGCAAGTTCTCGGCAAGTTGTAGAAAAGCCTCAGACATGGGGACTTGGGAACCCCGTGAATGCGTATGCAGGGAAATGAACACACCAAGTGTTGCCAAGAGAGGGGGTTTGTGGGTTTTCTTCAAAGTCAAGGCTTCGGGCAGAAAGGATGGGGAGAAATGCTGGAAGCAACGTCAGTTAGAACCAACAGCTGATCTTAAGTCTAACTAAACTCGGGGCTGAAGCTGCAAATGGAGGCCACAAAGTGAAACACACAGGAATAATTTCTCTCCAACAGCGTGACATTTCCTAACGAGCCAGCTCCATGAATTAGCTTATCTAAAGCCGAGACGCCGGCTCATCCCGGGTCTGGATGATTCAGTAACACCAAGGACCTCTCACTGGGAGTTTCCAGTTTGATTCTGGCCCAAGTTCAAAGCATGTGAGAATCATCTTTGTGATGCCACAACCTCTATAAAAATGTCACTGGTCTCAGTGCAGTTTCTCAGTGGGCAGAAGTTGACATCAAAGCCACCACGGAAAGCCTTGCCAAGGAGGTGCCGCGAGCCAACGCGATGGAGAGTCAACAACCTTCTCGTTCTTTGAAAAGGATCTCAAGCTCAGGACTGGGCCACTCAAAAACCGGTACGACTCTGCTAGCCATACTGACAAGGACTATGTGAAATAAATAAAAAGGAAAGAAAGAGAGAAATAAAAAAAGGAAGGGAAACCACAATATTTACAAGCAGTGCAAATGGAGGCAGATTGTAAAATGATGCTTCGTTGGCACTGCGTATCACAGACGTTGTAACACAGCAGAATTAAAAAGGCACCAAACATTTCATGATACAAAGCAGCTGAAGAGTAGAAAATGTCAAAACTCAAATGTCAAACAAATTTTGGGCAAGAAATCTGTACATAGCCCAAGGTCTCTGGATTCCTTCCCAAAGCCAAGACACCAGTCTCTTACGTACAATTCATCCGTCTCTGTGTCGTCTGTTTTTGACTAGTTTTAGTATAACCATTTGAGGGTTTTATTTAATCAGCCAAGAAGGAAAGAGTTCAAGGAACACCAGGGAATATGTGGCAAAATATAACAAGGTTAGATCACTTGCACTGGATTATTCTCCTCTGGCACACCGCAGAAGAAATAACCCCAGTCGAGGTCTGCGTGTTCAACGGTCTACAGGGAACGAGACCAGCATTATTCAAGGTAAGTGACACTTTAAAGAACTTTAAATTAGCTGTTGACAGTCAGGTAGATAGATTGATGAGTGACTACACAAAGTCCCCAACATTACCATTTTGTGGTGAAAGCAAATATGAAGGGGGGGGGAGGTAAGAAAATCCATTAAATATGGTTTTGCCAATCTGTGGTGCATTCAGCCAACAGCGAGGTTCATTTAAGGACAACTGGAAACTTATAAAACAAATTCCCTTCTCTAAATCAAAAGTTGACAGAAAGTTTCCTAACTATATTTTTAACTCCAGAAACACTGCAAGCCACGTTAGTAAACTATGAGAACAAAAAAAAAAAAAAATCCCCCCATCATCTTTCTTCCTAACAAGTGCTGGTTCTTCCAGGGCTGAAGGACCACATGCCAGCGGAGCAGAAGCGCAGCTCCCCTGAACTGCACAATTCAGGCTGACTTACTGTACGTACAACAGATGCCCTCACTGCAGTGGTCCCTAAAATACGTTTTTAAATAAAATTAACTCAACTCAGGAATCTATAATTAGCACCATCTTCAAGAATAAATCAGAACAAGTTTATTGAAGCACTCTAACTATTTGCAATGAGAGTGAGTTTACCCCCGAGGTTCACGTTAGTATTTTGTCTCAATTTTCTTGTAATTTCGTCCATCACATTTTTTTCAGTCCTCCAAAGGTGATGGATAAAACACAGAAATAAATAGGACCAACTGTTTGCAGAAGCCTAAGGGAAAACATAATTTTGTTATAAATAATCCTTGGCACAAATCATGGAAATGAAATACTAAAATTGTTTGTTGAATCATTTATGAATTGGGCCTTCAGTTTTAGTTTGCAAATAAGTTACAGTTTTTTGTTGATGTTCTTTTTCACTTTGCTTTTTCAGCTGGAAAACAGCCTTTGAGAAATTGAACTGATATATAATCCAGAAAACAGAGTGAATGAAGGATTTTTTTTTTTTTAAGGGACTCTCTTTGCTAACACAGGGTGCTTTTGGTGTTGGTGAGGGATTTACACACAGATGATGAGAAACTAAATGAGGACAAATCTTTATTTTCACCATTTTGAGTTTTCAGCCCAACTTTATGCCAAAAAAAAAAATGTAGAAAAGACAAAGACAATATGGTACTTAACCAAACCACTAAAAAAAAATGTAGAAAAGACAAAGACAATATGGTGCCTTACCAAACCACTAAAAAAAATAAGTTGCCAAAAGCTCTGCCAGGAGATTCAAATGAATGCCTATGATCTAATAGATAAATATGGCTACTAAAAATAATTTACAGTCCTGTGTTTGTTCTAAGATGTGGAATTTTGAAGATCTGTTGTTACTAACTAATGCAAAAGTCCGGGGGAGCGTAACCGCATGCTACCGAATTTTGAAGATCTGTTGTTACTAACTAACGCAAAAGTCCGGGGGAGCATAACCGCATGCTACTGCATTGTGCATGTAGTTGTCACACGTGCAGAAATACACAACACGAGCAGAAATTCTGCTGTCTTGAGAAATTCAGAATTTTAGAGGACAGCTGATTACCCAAAGTCTTCACATGAAAGTTATAAAGAAATATAGAAGAACGGTTTTAGAGGACAGCTGATTACCCAAAGTCCTCACATGAAAGTTATAAACATAAAGAAACATCGAAGAACAGAGAGGTGCACTTCTTCCTGAAGTCTTTTGTCTGAAATTGCTATTTTTTGTCCTCTGACGAGAGAGAGAGAAGCTTGGAGATAGATAAAAGCAACGTGAAGACACATTTCTCATTAGCCGGAGCAGGTGTGCACAGCCTTACCTGATCTGTCCTCGCACCAGTGGTCTGTTTTTTGTCCTGTTCATATTTGAGTCAAATGGAACCTCAAAGAACTGTAATAAAAAAACAAAACAAAACAGTAGAATCAAAATGAAAGGATGCCGGAAAGCATGCCACGTGTGGAATGTACTGTCTGCATCTGCAGGTGCTTTCATCTCTATTTTTGAAGGTTCCGAAATACAATGAAAATGGCAAACTGCTTTTACTGAGGCTTTGATAGTCTGCATGAATGCTTTTGGCATTCCCTTAGAAAGAAAATCACCTGGAGGACAAAAATAGCTTATGCAAGTCCCCAAAAGTTAAGCATTTGAAGTAGAGTTTGATGCCAAGTTCTGTTCTCAGCAGGTTTGACGCAGCTTTTACACATCCACAGTTCCACGTACCCATCCATCCCGCCCTGCCCCCAGTTTTATATGAATACAAACAGCCCTTGCAAATGTTGTGCTGCTGGTATTTAAAAGACAAACACGAAATTTGTTTTTCAAGATCATCTAACTTCTGAGAACCTACAACCCACCCCAAAATCAATCAAGTCTTGTAAAATGCTACTGAAACTGCACCGAGCATCTAGTTGGAGCAGCAGGGAATGCACACACCATATGGTGTTATTTAATGTCACAACCCAATTTGACTTTAAACACCACCTATGGGAAAATTCGGGCGGCGCTGCCTTCATGCTAGGAATTCCTCGCAGGCTTTTGTACGATCTGTTTTATAAAGAATGTTCCTGGAAAAGCTGAAGGCACTTTGCCATGCAGCAAATTGTAAAGCCATTTAGTTTTTACGTGTGCAAAACAATAATAATAATAACCATTTATTTATTTATACAAAGTATTGTATGTACTTATAGAAAGAATATTTTCTACTGACGTTATGTCTGAGGTTTTGGGGTAGGATCCCAATTATGGTGAAGATGTAGGAAAAGTACCGTAACAGCCCGTCATTTCAAACAATCAGACTGACAGCTCAGGGTAGTCACACTGCAGACAGATTTAAGGTGACTGTATCACTGGATGATGAAATCGATGTTATTCCAGCAAGCTAATGTAACCCTTTACACAACCGAAGACACAACTACCAAACACCTTCATTTTGACAGTGCCACATCACTGGCCTTGCTACTCACCGGGGCAGCATTCCCAGGGGAAAGGCAGCGGACAGGGACCGCGGGAGCAGCAGGGACCATGTCACAGCCCTACAGGTGCCCGTCGGGGGAAAGACGCTTCACTTCCAGGCACACAGAGCGTGCAGGAACAACCCTTCCCACCTCTTACTTTGGAGCAATGACAACACAGCAATTTGTGAACCTCTGCTGTTGCCCCTGCGCATTGCAAGCATGGCAGGGATGGGATACCCATGGGTCATCCTGCCCATGATATTCTCCACTCCTGGTAACCTCAGGTTGAATCATCTTCCCAAGAGTTTTAACCATTCCGAGGAATCAGGTTCTAAGGAAATCCTGCATACACACGAGCAAGAGCGACTGCTCAAGCCCATGTGCTGGAGGTACCCTGCTTAAACCAAACGTGCTAACAGCAGGTTCTAACGCCAAGAAATGTGGTAGTAGGCATCATCTTCGCATTTTTTCATGCTTGTGAAACTGTCCAAAGCTGGGAAAGACCGAGACTCCAGCGGATGGCAGGGAAGAGAGGGAAGAAGGTCGAGGAAGCAGCAGAGCCAGCAAGGTGGATGCTGGCTGGGGGATCCCAAACTTGCACCCCCCGCCAGCCAGCAGCTGTGAAACCCCTGGAAAAGCAGCTGCCTCGTCCCCCTCTAGTGGTTAGCCAACACAAATTAATGGATAATTACTGGTAATGCAGCTGAAGCCTGCACTGCGTATGAAAGTCCTTGGCTTGTCTGTGATGGATCCAAAACTACTCTGCAGGGGAGGAACCCTGTGTTTGTCAGTTTGTGTTAAAGGCTGAGAATTAAATGCTCAAAAGTTAAGAAATATAAAAGCATGGGAACTGAAATCATCAATGCAGCTCTCAATTTCTAGTTCATATCCAATTCACTAAAATCTCTCACGTCTGTCGGTGCGGTGGAGCTGGCTGGGGCTGCGCAGCCTGTCGATGGTTTGCTCTCCGTAAGCTTCCATCCGGGGCAGCTGGATGGAGCACACGACCCACTCCCAATTCCTACCGACTCTCAAAGCCTTCCCATTTTATTATCAACGTTACTGAAGCAAACTCAGGCTGCTTGGCCAGGAGTTACTCATGAGAAAGAGGAAAGGGAGCTGAGGAAGAAAAAGGGTTTGTTTATGTCTTTCACTTTGCCAGAGCCTTCTGGTACAGTCCTAGGCCACCCATTTCTTTACTTTCAGACAGGCAGCTAATAGTTATTTCTCATCCTCTGCCTGATGTGCAGCGGCACCAGTCACGCCCAGCTACAACCGAAGCTGTGGATGCCCCATCCCTGGAGGGGTTCAAGGCCAGGCTGGATGAGGCTTTGAGCAACCTGGGCTAGTGGGAGGTGTCCCTGCTCATGGCAGGGGGTGGGACTGGGTGGGCTTTAAGGTCCCTTCCAGCCCAAACCATCCTGGGATTCTGGGAAATCGGCGGAGACCCCGGGTTAGAAGAAAAGCACAGAGGGGTCTGTGGGGCAGCTCCAACCCCCAGGCACGGAGCCCCGGCAGCTCAGCTCAGAGGGACAGGTCGGATCTGCACGGCTGCAGCGCTGCCCCTGACACGCTGGATGCTTCACAAAGAACCTCTACAGGAAACTGCAACGAGTACCTTCGGAGACGGGAAAGCACCCTGTTTGGATCCGAAACCAGTGATTGCTTCTGACAGCTCAGCATTTTGCTAATGGTTTGTTTCACTGTTACAATTCAGGGACAATTATGTTAAATGGAGAAAAAATGTCATTTGACATCAGACTGGTAGAGCAATACAAGGGAAAAATTCTATACAGCTAAATTCTTTTATCGTGAAAATATTTTGGGCTACGCTCAGTTTTGCTGTGTTTTTAAATACACAATTTTCCCTTTATTTCTACTTGGAAAGTCTGACAGCTGTGAGCTTACTTCCAATTGAAACTTGTGCACGTGAGGCGATTCTGGCTCATCTGAGAGAGTTTCAGCTCAGGTAGAGGTATTCTGTGTGCGATGGCTCAAATCAAAACAACGCACAGGATTTAAACTCAGTGCATCTCAAACATAAACCGGCTGAAACGAAGAACAGTTGGACACTAAACACTGCTGAAAGAATTCAGACTTCTGCAGTTGAGTTATCAGTGTAACCTGACAATACCTAACCAGTGCATGAAATATTTCCACATATTTAATATTGTAGTTAACCACTGAATGGAACATAAATTTTGAACAAGAAACTTCTCTGTTGAGTTAACTAGTCAAAAAAAGTCTGTCTCTGTTGTACACAGACACGGCTGCTCCTGAAATTAAGATTACTGCATGACTTAAGTCTGAATTTTTTCGCTTTTTTAAACCTGACAATCTGAATAATCTGTTACTGCCAACTGTACGCACGAAACTACATATCCGATTGAACCACAGTCAGGAAAAGTCCTTTTATTTGCAATGCTACAGATTCTTTCACTGAGCTAGTTGCTATTACATGTCAGCAAGATGCCATTTATCAAACTTTTCCCATTTTGTTCCCAGATGTTCAGTAAAATTCTCTCTCCACTTGAAATTATTCTCCCCTGATATTCTAGAAAAAAAATGAAAAAAATGTGCATCTCGAATATCATTCCATAGGAATGAAAGAGTGAACTCAAACACATTATCTCATGCCAGGCCAGCACAGTACAGCTTGTTTTAGCAAACAGTAAATTCAAGTAAAATGAATCCTGAACAAATAAATATTTTAGAAGCGCTCAAGAGGCTTCTTCCTCAGGAAGTCTGACCACATCAGTTCAGCTGGACAAGGCAGAATATTATCTGCCGTAGATACTTGGGAAGGTAGCCACCAAAAGGACAGACAGAGGGTTAAATCTACAGCGTCTAAAAGTCCCTGAGTGACAAAACTTGGCAGCGGCTTCCAAGACCTTAACCTAACTTGTAATCAGTATGCATGAACATTTAAAACATGATGATGGAAAAAAATAAATCAGGCCAGCTAGCACTTTGTGGTTTATTTCTCTGGCAGGCTCATCAGACTCTTTGTGTAGATCTCATCTAGTTAATACACAGTAATTATATCTTAAACATCTAACAGTTCTTAGATTGGCTGTCACATCACTGCTTATAGCTGTTTACACTCATGGGCTTCTTCCTTCAGCTCTTCACATTGGTTCCCACTTTGTTTTTAAGTGAAACATTAAAGAACGTTAAATTTCTTTAAGCTACCTCCTGGAAAGAGCAGTGAATGCAGAGGGTGGCTGCTCATTCAGACTTCCTGGGAGACACTTAGATTAATCATTTTATTTGGACTAAGCCAAGATTCCCAAAGCATCACCTTGCAGACGCGAGGGCATTACACCACGCTGGCACTTCGAGGACTACCACGGTACTGAAAGAGAGAGAGGGCATCCCATGCCTTTACAGGGACACACCAACACCACTAATTAAGGTTTCAAAGACAGTGACCTGACTATCTGCAGCTAATTAAGCCAGGGAGGATGGAGAGCCCTGAGCCCGGGCTGTGTTTGCCATTCGCGGACATCCTGCGGCAGAGGTTCTAGCGCCTGAACTATGACAGTTCAATGCCTTTACTCCTGTTCACACAAAAACCTCAACAGACTGCCTCAAGAGGAACAACATGTCATATAGTTTATCAAACGGATCACCCACACTTGGGCTAGTACACGGCTCTCGTACGCTGCTTTGGAGTTCGAGTGTCTCAAGCACCAGCCTGGCCCCCATCCAGGGCCAGCTCTAATCTGTGACACATGGTGGAAACTGCAGGGGCTGAAACAGGCTTTTTTTCGCTCTTCAATGTATTGACATAACATTTTACTCTAATGCTAAACACATATTAACATCAGAACTGATAATCCCATCAGTCTAAAAATGGAGTTGAACCCTGCTATTAAAAGACAATTTAATTCAAGGCAACTCGGAGGTCTTCCAGGAAGCCTCTGAGCGGGCTTCCACGTCCTCTTTGGCAGCAGAACTGCCCTCTGGATGTTTTTTCTCTCCAAAGACTCCCACCTCTGGATGTTTTTTCTCTCCAAAGACTCTTGAAGAGCAGTTCAGGTGCTCTATGGCGCTGATGAGCAAATGAGAAGATGAGGCTGTTACCAAAGAGCAGTCACCTCCTCGGGCACCAAAGTGCTGCTGGTCTCCAAAACCCTCCGTGTATTGCACCGCACTGGGGAGACGAGACGAGCTATGGAGATGGGTGCAAGTCGTGGCCAAAATCTCTCCTCAGCTACAGACCCAAGAAAACATTTTTAACACAATGCAAATAATGACCAGTCCAACTGGACTCCCCACTTGAGCATCCCACTGAATATCTACAGCCAGGGGTGAAACTGGGCTGCCCAGGGCAAGTCTTGCAAATATTGGTCTTGGTGGATTAGATGAGTCTGGGGTTCTCCGATTTCCCCTGTGCTACAGTGAGCTCTCATCCTCTTTGGTTTTCTTTGGTATTGCCAAAGAGCAAGCAGTTAACCAGAAAATCATTGAAACACACACTGGAAACCCCAAAATCGCATGAATTGGGGAGGAGCGGGTGGAACAAAACCAGGGGGAGAGCATGGGGACAGAATGGGGTCCGGACACCTGGACAACAACCTGTGGTTTCCTGGGAAGGTGACACCCAGAAAGCCATTCCTCACAGCTGGCCCTACGGCCTCTAAATCCATCAGGTTTTAGCACTAACCTTTTACGTAAAGAATCCCGAGTTTCTCATGCACTAAAAGGCAAGTTGCTGTCAGCAGCACTGGAAACCCATCAGACCACGAAGAGTCGAGTTCCTGCCTTAGTGCGTGCTCTTCCCCTCCACATTACCTAATTATTTCTACTCCTCATGTTTTCCGTGATTTATCTTACATTATGATAAAGTAATATATAATTACATAAAAGGAGAGGAAAAACATAACATATAATTTATGGTAAATAAGATCAAAGTCCACATTATTATTATAGGTTTTCTTCTGGTTTCCTTTCAATCACTTTTATATGAAAACAACAAAGAATAATTAAAGTATATTACAAAGGCCTTTTTATTCAATTGTACACAGATGTGACTAAAAAAAAAAGCAAAGGGAAGGATTTTCAAAAGCACTCATGTACTGATCTAACACTATTCTCACTGAAGTCAACGGCAGTTTGACTTCAATGAGAGCAGAGACAGACCAACGCTGAGTGATTCTGAAAATCCCACCCTAATTGTACAAACAAGGGAAGGCTTTAGAGATTGCTGGCTTGGAGATTGTATATTTGAGAATCATAAAGGGCACATAGCACCTGTTTGTCTTCAAGATATGAAAATAAAGCAAGGCAAATATTTTAAGGATTAGAAATGGCTTTTTTTTTTTTTTTTTTAAGGCAGTATCTGAAAACCCTCTGGCTCTGCAGTTCCCTCTCTAGCTATAGATCTGCTTTAATATTTTCCATTTCAAAGAGGATTCTAATTAAAAACAAGATTGATGCAAGCCTGAACAATGTTACTTACAGACAGAGAAGGGCAGCTAAACCCCAAACTGTCATGTCCCAGCGAACCCCAGAAAGGTCTGCTAGGTAGAGCAGCTGCCATAGTTTTTTTTTTTAAAGCTTCCACTTAAGGCACATTCTTCTTATTAGGCAGTGTTTAGAAGCCCATTGTTGTGTAGAGGGAAGAGAATGGGAGGGAACTGCAAAGAAAATGTTGATATCTGTCGTTTCAGAAATATACTTTCAGGATGGAGAATGCAAAGACTCACAGAATTCAATTAGCGCTGGTTTGTCCCCTCCGATTAACGACCTGCCCTGTGTGTGCCGCTTTTTAGTGCTCAAGAGACGACATTTTCGTGCTATTTCCTCGACCACTTACACGCATATATGTGACTCTTCTAAGGATCCTCAGAGACACCCACTACACCAAAACTGAGATTTTTTTTTTTTTTGGGGTGTTTCATTGCACTCAGCTGGCAGCAGTGCCCAGAGCCCCTGCCACACCGCTCTGTATTTGTTTCCAGCTTATCCCAATCCCTTCAGTGAGCCTGACCAACAAAACAAGTGGTCATTACACTCCTGCAGCTCAGTGGGCTCTTCATCAGCACTCTGGCCAAACAACATCCTCTGGCGATACCAGAAGCACTGTCACAAGGAGCTTGAAAAACATGTTAACACCCAGGAGTGTCAAAGCGACATGTCCAGAGTGCCTCGATACTGCTGCTCCGTCCGCTGGTCCCATCACAACGCCGAGGGGTCGGGATGGAGGCGAGGATGACGGATGCATCCTGAAACACGCCGCCTGGAACTGCTGAAGCTCGGCTGGAGGGACCGCTGCCGCTGCAGGTGTGGATGCGCTCGGGGCGTTCACCCGGGGAAAAGCAGCGAGGGTGGAAGGCGAGACCCTGGGTGTGCACGTGTGTGTCTGAGCACGCCGCAGTAAGCAAGGAATTAAGTTGGAAAAGACAACTAAGGACTACATGTGGTCTTCAGTTGTATGAATAACTTCGAATGAAATAATGGGGCACTTGCACCACATTACTTTAGCTACTTTAACCCCCCGTACAACATTTTTCTTGTCTTCATCTTTGAATCAAATTTGCTAGCACCCATGCATTAAGAAACCCCAAACTTGTTTCATCTCATTTTTTTTCAATGCACCTGATGTCCAAGACTTGAAATGGGAGAAAAAACATGAATCTCCTGTTTCAGTAAACAGCAAACAGATTGGGCAACCACCAGTGAGCCCTGATCTTCCCAGCAACATCATATTTTGCTAAAAAGATACTGTAACAAAAATGAAATAATGAGAAAAATAAAACCAGGCCCTTAATTTAGAAGCTGTTCGATCTTGCAAACTGCTGACATCTTAAGCCACCTAAACATATTCCCGAGGCCTCACGGAGGTCAGCCACAGCTTCAGGGGAAATGCAAGCTGGCTACCGCAGACAGGCTTTCACCTTATGTGATCCACTGCGGAGAAATGGCTTTCACGGGAAGAAATACTGGCTTCTGGCCAGCTGCCAAAGACTTCTAATAATATTAAATATGTACCACCAAGTCCGTTTTGTTTAGCACACAATTAATGCATCCACAAACAAAGCTCCTCACTCCAAGCCTTCCTCCAGCCCCGCTCCCAGGAGGACACTTGCCCATCGATGGGTTTGGGCTCCTTCAACCAAAGGGAGCAATTTCCGAAGCACAGGACGTGCTGCACTGAATGCCTTCTCATCCTTTTCTTCTGGACATGGACTTTGTCACCATTGGGCTCTTCCTTTTCATCTGAAAAGGAAAATCGCTAAAAAGTGTGTTTCAGGTGCGAGCTCCCGGTTAGATAAAGCATCTTGTGCCCTTCGCTTGTGCTGACCCGACCAACGGCACGCACAGAACAACCTGATCTGCCAAAAAGGTAACTGATTTGTCTCTAGATCTTTCCATTGAGATTTTTTTTTTTTTTTTCCCATCTGTGTCACTTGATCAGGTCACCCTGGACACGAAAAATCAGGAGAGGGAAAGGGTGACACTGTGACTCAGCTCCCAGCGCTGAGCTGGTGCATCTCTACCCCGGGTCAGACACAGCAACACAACCGTGGGTCTGCCATTTAGGGGTTAAACTGTTCTCCCTGTCCAGGCACCTGGAGAGAAGGCAATGAAGCACCATTCATCTCTAGACATGGTGTTGTCCTGGTATAATAAGGGAAAACTTCACCTACCCAGGCACACTTCAATTGGACTCTGATCACCCCAAATCTGTCACCTACCCATGCCGGATTTTTGCAAGTTTTTAATGAGGAATTGTAAGTAGATGTCAGATGCTGAGACACATACTTTCTGCTCTTCAGGAGCGATTTTATTTCTATATATTTTAAGAACAATTATTAGAATTGAAGAAAAATACCCCCTTTATGCCTACCAAAATACACTGTGAATCACTTTGCAAAGCCGTCTTCTCGAAACAATTCCTTCGCATTAAATCATATTTGTCACGACGCCAGCGTGCCATGAATGCAACGTATAATTTAAAAAAAACAAACAAAACTTCAAATAACAATCTCTTTGCTGAAGATAGGAATTACACAAGGTCAGTATCTGGTTTAAGTTACTATATGTCCCAAAATACACAAGGCCGGGTCCTCTGGACACAGTGCAGCTGCTTTGAGCAGTACTGCAGATAAAATTCGATACTGAAGATGGCTTAGACAAATTCCTGTGGTGGAATAAAGTTGTTACTCAGGAACTCTTGGGGAAGTATTCCTGTTGCCCAATGCAAGTGCTTAAGTCAGATCCAGAGTCAACCGGGAGCCACGCGTCTCTTCCAGATGGCAAATGAGAGCAAACAGAGGCAGGAGCTGGTCTGATTGAGATGCAAAGCCTTGATTTCTCTCCAGTAACTCCAGAGCGATCCTGAGCTCCTGCCTTTAGCCAGGACAGCTGTAAAAGGGGCAGGTAAGCAGACAGCCCTCCAGACTATCGCTATCAGCTGCTTTTTGGTCCCCTGTGACTACTAGAGAAGCTATAAAATCCAGCAGCCTCGCTGCTGCGCTGCTCTCGCCCAGGAGATTAGCGCACGGAAGTGGAGAGGTGAGATTTCAATCACTTCCACACGTCTCCTGGCTCCAACCCATGTGTTCAGGATCCAGGTCATTTTAATCAGCTTTTTCTAATTTGTCACTCAAATGATAAGAACACTAATCTACCACAATGTGCTTCCTGCCAGGCACCCGAATATTAACCCATAAACTGTTCCCTTATATCACGCGGAGAAGTGTTCGCTTTAACACGTAAGAAAAAAAGCGCTGCTAACAGGTGTGCTTCCTGCCAGGCACCCGAATATTAATCCATAAACTGTTCCCTTATATCACACGGAGAAGTGTTCGCTTTAACACGTCCTGTTAGCAGCGCTTTTTTTCTTACAAGACAGACAAAAGTAGTACGGTACATAAAGCAGCAGGCTTGCCTGCTTTTGGCTATGGAAAGGTTATTTATGTCATTGCACACACATAAATTACTTCTTCAAAACACCTTTTAGTTTTGGAAAGAAATTAACTTTTTTTTTACCCGAAGTTACTGGCACCTGTGAAAAATAATTTGCTTTGGACCATCTGTATTTGGCAAAAGAAAAAACTACAGCTCCTTCTGGCCAAAATATTTTTTAAAACCCCCAAACGCCAAAAAACCACAATGAATTAAATCTGGAGACACTGTAATACAGCCAATAAAAAACCCTAAATGTGAACACGGGTGTAAAGTGCCACCAGCGTTTACTGACCTGCCTCAGAAACACGGTACGATCCCCTTCACAACAAAACTGAAACCCAACTTTTTCCTGTTGTTCAGATGTCTGAAAAGAGAGCAAGGAATCTCTCCGGGGGATTTCATGATTTACACTTTGCTGGCGAGAGAACAGCCTCATTGCTTTACTCCACCACGTGCTCCCAGTGCCACAAGGAGTCTCGTTTCTAATATTCTGAAGAGCTTTAAATGTTAAGAGATGGTATCAAAGGCACCTTGTTGAGTGTGACACTGTAACTTCATTTGTATGACAATGGTTTTATTTTTTTTTAATCTTGGCAACAAAGCAAACTAAGAGAAACCACTTTTCTCTCTCCCATCTGTACAGAACTTAACGGAAAGCTATCACCACACTCAGAATATTTTTTTTTTTTCTTACGAATTTCACAGACCATAAAGGCAGGCCACATCTCTCCTGAGGAATGCAAGTCACAAAATCTCCCCAAAGCCTGCAGCTAAAGATGAAGCTGCAGTTCTGTGAACAGTGGGTTTCAACCAAGGGTCCTCAGACTGCACAGAAGAGGTTTGTTAAAGACGAGCAAGAAAAGCAAGCTGTACATGCAATGGGGCCGGCCACACGCGTGACATTTTCCAGGCATTCTCTCCACCTTTGTAAAGCTATCACGGCTCTGCTGATCAAAGGACATGGAAAAGATGCTAAAAAAACTATATGAAGTTTCTAGCCAAGCGCTACCCACAGTGAGTTAGTTTTGGTAATGTCTCTTTCTTCATAAAAACATATTTTTATGCAGAATGTGTACATCTGCCAAATATGGGAGCGAGGCACAAGGTAATAACGGATATGGAAGGTGTATTTAATCACACAGCACCAGCTTTGCAGGTAAAATCCAGCAGCCATCTACCTTTCCCTTTTTTAAAAGCATAATGTGCAAACTGGGACCATTAACTGAGGATGGCCGTCATTATCCAGCTCTTCTGCTGGATGACAAACCTACACATGGCGAATAATTATGTCTCACCTTTCCTTCCCCTTCCTTCAGAACGAAAGTGAAGCAAGAGTCTCACGACGACGACCCATTAGAAAGCACAAACACCCAAACCTGTTGCAGAGGCATCACATCATCCATCTTTCTAAAGCTGTCAAGAAATGTTTGTCATTCCAATACTGCTTGCATCTCCCAAATGCTAAGATAACACGCCCATCAATCTCAGCTAGAGTTAAAAGAGGAGTTGAAAAATAAATAGTTCTGAGTCATGTTACTAAGAGGGATTCCACACACTATTAATTTTAGCTTGGAAACCAATTAAGACACCAAATCAGCATTACCTCCCCCCTTTATGAAGATATAATGACCTATTCGCTTGCTTAAATTTATTTATTTTGTGACAGTGATCCTTTCAAATGCTTTAGAAGTTTAAACAACAATAATCTTAGTCCTGGCTTCTGGCAACAAGAAAATTTTTGCCAGAAGGAGGCCAAAGATATGGCCAAGACAGCATGGTTCCCCCTATTTTAGTAGGCCATTCTTAAAATAAAAGAACAATAATAAGAAACACAATGCCATAGCAGCAAAACTTGTCCTAAGCACTGCAGGAGCATCAAAAGGCTGCAAGAAATTGGTGCTTTCCACTCCAAACCCGGGGCAACCCTCGTCCCTTTCAACCCAACCGCGGCTCCTTGCTCACGAGTGCCGCCAGCTACAGCAGCACATCTCTACGTCAAAGCAGTGATGGCGTGATCCGAGTGTGCAAGACCGCACAATCCTTCTATGAAAAGGCTGTTAAAGCCCGAACGCCGTGCCCACGCGAAGGGCTCCCTGCTCCTGCCCCACTCCTGCAATGGGAATTGCCTCTGCCTGGCTGGGAACTTGCAAGAGCTGTTTAATATTGGCACCGAAATGCCACTCTTGGCAGATTTGTCTTTCAGGTGCCTCAAATGTCACCTTTGTTTGCTAAGTGCTAGGCCAATATGAAGTTTTCTGAGTATCTATGGGGAAAAAAAATAATTTAAAAATCACCCGTGGACCTCAGTGGCCTGAATTCCCTGGGTGCCAGCACCCACCGGAGAGCTCTGGGGGACTGTTCCCAACCCCCTCCTGCTGCGCTGCCACAGCGATCTGGGAGCTTTGACTACAGAGCTGGGATTAGTGTTTTATTCAGCCACGAGGAAAAAGGAAAAAAATTTTTTTTTAGGAGAGGTGACTGAGGGTCCTCGTGCAAAGGGTTACAGCCAGACCCTGCGTCGCGGGGGTTTCTGGTGTTGTGGTCATTCCCCAGGGAATTAAACCCAGAAAGATGAAAAGTCTTTCTGTGACAATGGAAGTCCATTAATTGAGTCATGGATCAAAAACTGAATATATTCCTACTTTCCTGAATAAAGATATCATGAGAAGACAGATCTGAGGTCCAGTACCAAGGCCCCACCGATTAGAGCAGGCTGCCATTGCTGGCAAGTGGAAGACAAAACAAAGAATTTCATTTTCTTGTCCCAAAGCCCAGACCAGAATATGATGCCACTCACCCCAGCTTATCTATGGACCAGCATAAAAAAATAAAAAAACAAAAAGCTCTCCTCTCAAGAAAGGACAGTAAAATCAAATCAGTCGCTCTCACGGAAACACCTGAAATAACAACAACAACAAAACCATTACAAACTGGAACTAAACCGAACACTGCAGTATTTCTATGACAAAAGAATAATCTGCTAAAACATCTACCTCTGGGCCAGATTTCGAATTCTTCCATGAGGAAAGTGTGGGTATATACACGAGAAACACTAACTTTGCTATTCCAAAAACAAGCTTGCAACCAAAAGTTCTTATTCCAAAACAAAAGTACCCATTAGAAGACATTCCTGAGGGAAAAATTCTGCTTTAAAATTCACATCCTACTAAAATTCAAATGAATTTCCCTAGGTAGGCAAGTCCTTAAATGTGTACCTCTATTTAATTACGCTGCAGTTCCTGTGTAGACAAGTCCCAAGATGCTCTTACATGATAATCATTAAATATGAAGTGGTGAAATGAATTGCAACATTCAGTAATGCTTCTCATGAACTAAGATTTATAGAGGAAGCATGAAATAAAACTAAAAAAAGCACATGGTTACCACGTCTGCATGGTGTACTGGAGAAAAAAAAAAAGATACAAAAATCGTAATTGAAAATTATGAAGAGCTGGGCACAGGCATCTTACCAAAATTTCTGCTGCAGAAGGTAATGCTCAGCTCAGCCCACCTATTTATTTAATCCACGTAACAGGAGTATTAAAATCAGAAAGAAATCTAATTACATTTTACAAGTCATTTAAACACTGAACACATCATGAAAATAATTGGCAGGATGGTGCTATTTAGTCAATACAATTTTCTGCTCAGCTCTACACTTCAGCACCTGCTGAAACCAGTGGTGAACAGTTCAGGTACACCTCCCAGTTTCACTGCATAAAAACCAGAAAAAAATATCCCGTACAATAATCTGTACATAGCTACAGAAATGATACAAGCGCAAAGTA